AGAAAACTTATCACATGTGAATATTTTATACTAAAAACTACATGGGATTAATGAACACTCGACCTAGGAGCGTACACACTTGGCCTGACGACATTGGAGGTTTTGGTTGTTCGGTATCTGTTCCTTAATCACATGTGATATAGATGTTTTCGTGTTCTCTTACTTTGACTATGTTCTTGTTTGAACTTCCATCCATATATATATAGTCAGGTTCGTATGAGAACAATAATAACCAAATAAGAGAATAAGAAAACAATCGAATCACGACTCGAACTAGTGACTTATAAGGATGATCCCAAAAGAGTCATGTCTTATTGTCAACTGAATTAACCCCAAAAGAAAGTTGATTACATTTTCCTAAAACGATTTGTATTATTATGAAAAAAAAAAGAAAAAAAAAAATATGAGGATGGATATCTATGAAAGAATAAATGGTTGTCATATTCATCAAGACTTTTGGAATAGTTAAAGATGCAATGTTCCACCAACAATTCATGCAAGTTGAGATCATGTGATACCAGTTTATTTATATAAGATTCGTGAGACCATTTTTTTATACTTAAAACTTCACATTAAAATGTTGTGCCTTCACACCGTTTTGTGTGTAAAATTTTAAATGTAGAAAAATGGTTTCAAGGATTCCATAAAAACAGGTTGGCCTTACGTGAACCTAATCCTAAAAAAAAAATAGTTAATTCCTAAAAGACAATCATGACAAAAAGTAAAACATACACACACAATCCAATCCAATCCTCAAATGTACAACCATAAAATAAATAAATAAAAGTAAAAAAACATTAATATACGAAATAATTTAGCTAAAGGGTTGTTTACCAAACACTTATCCGGTAAGCATTTATCGGTAAAAGTTAACATTATCACTTGTTTATCAGTTAAGATTTTAGTTCACCAAAATGACATTGTATGCAACAATCTACCAGGTAAGCGCTAACAGTGGTAAGAGTCGTCGCCATCACTTACCGGGTAAGACTTTGTCTTTATATTCGCTCTTACCATGTAAGGTTCTTAATCCTTGTCATATTTATCCGGTAAAATAATATGACTTGATAACTATTATCCGGATAAACGTAAATAAAAAAGGTACAAATTCCAACTAGTTAGTGGTGATGGAATCTAAGAATATGTCCAAAACCACCCACAAACGGAGAATAAATAAAGATCGGGAATCTCGACATTTTTTTGCCACCTTTAATTGTTCCTTTGATAAAAACCTCTTGTAATCTTGAAAATTAATACAGTATATGCTATATTATATGATTTTTAATTTATATACTGAATTTTATATATTGATTAATATATATATATATATATATACTATATTATAAAACATTTGATAAAAACTCTTAAAAATTATTTTTTATACATGAGATACTGTTTATTGATACATATTACTTAAAGTTCAAAATTACAAGTAAATTGTGCGTAAATACAATTTATTAAAGCTTTATGTTTAAATTCGTTTAATTCACTTTAAATAAATCTATACTATATTATAATGCATTTGGCTAAAACTCTTAAAAACTCTTAAACTCTTAAAACT